AGGAGTTATTTAAGGTTGCTTGTATGGTAATCATAATATTCAACACTCTCTGAAGTGTAGAAGTACCAGAATTTTATTTCGAAGCTGCTATTTTAATGGATATTTCAACTATTTTAAAATATCCGCACCGCGGAAATGTCACCGCATACCAGGTGAAAGAGTGCAAGATGTCGGTATTTTTTATATATGTTTAAATAAAGAAGCATTTAAAGATTTTATTCCATTAGGAAAAAATGTAAATATTACATTCAGAAAGAGGAAAATAAAGTAGAATATTGTAACTTCTTACACACCTTATTAATGTAACAAAATAAAAAGACATTTGAAGCTTAGGTTTTAATTACTTATTTTCATTCATGCTGAGTGGAAAACCAAATTACGTGCCGTAAAATCTCATTTTTTTTATCTGTGGCATTTTTAAAGGTGTGGTCATAATGAAAATAATGTACAGGCACCAAATATTTAAAAAATGTAATTTTTTTTACTAGGTGCAGTCGTCTACCGCGGTTGCTTATGTGCATATCACTATTTGAAGTCACTTCCAACCGTTACATTGGAAACTTAAAGAGAAAGGATGAACTGAAGAGACCATTCCTTTTCGACATACTGTATATTTATTGTTTGTGTATTATATATATGTACTAGTCTAGTACAAAACGAATATTGAACTAGGAATTCTCACATTCATTGTATTAATGCACATGGATGTTGTTCCGTGTGACACCACACCACAGTTACATTAAAAAGTGACTGCTGTGTTTTTGCTAATAAGTGAACGCGTCATCATAACTACGCCAGCATTAGATCGAAAATCCATCCAACGTTTCGAAGTAAATGAATGTTATAAAAATGTCTGTGGTGAAATGACACTTCTGCGAGAGAGTCGAACATCCCGCATCCAACATCGCCGGACCTGTTGTGTTTCTGTAATGGAACCGCGCGACACAGAACGCGTTCGTCGACGCTTTTGTCGCCTGCGGTTTTGTCCGCTGGCCGCGAGCAGCAGCAGTGTCGTATCAGCGGCGAACACTCTACCACCGCTCCAAACAAACGTCGCCGTCGCTGGCGCAGGTGGCACCAATGAGAACAATCGCCCGCCGAGCGGAATGTTGAAAGTGCGGCTCTTTCGGCGTTCGTGCAATCCCGCGAGCTGGCCCGCCGACCCTGTTGCTCTCCTCGCCACACCTCCTTCGTGGCGAACCTTCGACCAGTTCACTCTCGCACTTCCAGTTGTTTCGCACTCCCAACATTCGCGGACGACTGTCCTGACCAACGGGGCACTCGTACAGCGTTGTAACGTGTTCGAGTTATCTTTAATTATTTAGACATGTTTGACTTTTACTTAATACCCTCTTAGTCCGACATGGTTGAGAGACTCAGACAGCCGCAGATCCAGACTTCATAGCCTCAGGTGCCTTATTGCGCGCAAATTGCCAGTTCCTCCTGTCGACCGCCTCGCGGGTAACGTTGCTGACCGCCGCGCTGTGTGTTGCAGGCCGACGATTCGGACGAAGACGACCACTGCGCCCTGAGCGAGAACTGGACGTTCCAGCCCGAGTCGCGGCGCTGGTCGCGCGTGTGCGACGTCACGGCCCAGCACGCGGAGCGCCTGCAGGCGCTGTGTGGTGAGTAAGCCGCCCGGCCTTGCGACCCCCGCGCGCGCGCGCACACGCAATTACCCCTCGCGCCTAAAATTAGCAGAACTTTCCAGAAAGTACCCCTCTTACGATGCTTCGTAAACGTGTTTGTGGGAGAGGACACGCCGTTCGTCCTTCTACGTGCTGGGAGCGAACCGTTCATTAAGAAAGCCGCGGGAGTTGTAAAGAGAGGTAATTGCGCCTCGCTTCCCGGTTCGTCTCTCGGAGGGCCACAAAGCAAACGAACGCTGGTCCTTTTTAACCTTTCCGCGACATTTACGGTGCATCTGGCAGAAGCCCTCCCTTCGTGGAAGAGAGCGCGCGCTCTATTTGGTATCGACAAGGAACCTCCCTCAAGGCCCCCCAATCGCTGGCCGCCGCCGCCGCCGCCGCCGCCGCCACCCTGCGCGGACGTGCGCGCCCCGCCGCTGCCGCGCCGGGCGTGGCGGCGTGCCGGGGTGGCTGCGGGCGGGGCGTGCCTGCGCCCGCGCAGCGCCCGTGGGCCACCGGTCGCTCCAGAGCGCTCGCTGCGGCCCCGCCGCGGGTACATCGTCCACGCTGCCTCTGCACTAGAGCTGCAAACAGCCCGGACGGACTCCTTCAGCGCGCTGCGCCACCGGCGCCGCGTCCGCTGCCACCGCCGCCGCCGCCACCACCGCCGCCGTCGCCGTGGACCCGCGGAGGTGAACAACTCTGCTGGAGTGGCCGGATGGCGGCGGCGGCGGCGGGCGGCCAGCATTGGGGGGGCTTTGAGGGAGTTCCTTGTCGATACCAAATAGAGGCGCCGCTCTCTTACGAAGGGAGGGGCTTCTGCAGATGCACCGTAAATGTCGCGGAAAGGTTAAAAAAAGAAAGACAGCGTTCGTTTGCTTTTTGGCTCTCGAAGACGAACCGGGAAGCGGGCGCAATTATCTCTCGTTACAACTGCCCCGCGCTTCCTTAATGAACGGTTCGCTCCCAGCACGTAGGAGACGAACGCGTGGTCCTCTCCCGCAACACGTTTACGAAGCATCGTAAGAGGGGTACTTTCTGGAAAGTTCTCTAATTTTAGAGCGCGAGGAATGGCGTTTGTTGTGCGCCGCGCGCGGGGTCGCAAGCACGGGCGGCTTACTCACCACACAGCGCCTGCAGGCGCTCCGCGTGCTGGGCCGTGACGTCGCCAACACGCGCGACCAGCGCCGCGACGTCGGCTGAACGTCCAGTTCCGCTCAAGGCGCGAAAGTGGTCGTCTGTCGTCCGAATCTCGGCCTGCAACACAAGCGCGCGGTCAGCAACGGTTACCCGCGAGCGCGGTCGACAGGAGGAACTGCAATTGCGCGCAATAAGCACTTGAGGCTATGAAGTCTGGATCTGGGCTGTCTGAGTCTCTCAACCATGTCGGATAAGAGGGTATACGTAAAAGTCAAACATGTCTAAAATAATTTAAAGATAACTCGAACACGGGTTACAACCTGTACGATGCCCCGTTGGTCCAGACAGTCGTCCGCGAATGTTTGCGAGTGCGAAGCAACTGTCAAGGCGAGAGTGAACTGGTCGAAGTCTAACACGAAAGGAGTTGTGGCGAAGCAGAGGACACGCAACAGTGGCTCGGCGCGGCCAGCCTCTCGCAGGATTGCACGAACGCCGAATATGAAGACCGCACTTCAGCATTCCTGTCTCCATAGCGGACGATTGTTCTGCTCATCGTTGGTTGCCACTGTCGCCTCAGCGTACGTGCGTACGTTATATTGACGGTGGTTAGAGTGTTCGACCTGGTGAACGACAACTGCCATGCTCTTATCGTCTCGGCCACGGACAAAACCGCAGCGACAGAAAGCTTGGTCGACGAACGCTTCATGTGTCGCGCAAGGTCCATTGAGCAGAAAACACAACAGCGTCCGGCGATGTTGGATGCGGGATGTTCGACTCTCTCGCAGAAGGCATTTCACCACGAGCATTTTTATACATTCATTTACTTCGAACGTTGGATGGATTTTCGATCTAATGGCTGCTGTTCATGATGACGCGTTCACTTATTAGCAAAAACACAGCAGTCACTATTTTAATGTAACTGTGGCGTGTGGGTTCACACGGAACAAACAGTGGCGCATGCTGCAAGAAAATACACATGTGAATGGTGAGAATAATTCCTTAAGATTCAATATATCGTTTTGTACATTAGGACTAGTATCGACAGATATAATAATGAGATACAAACAATACATATTAATACAAACGAGTATGATGCGACAAAGGAATGTCTCTCAGTTCAGCCTTTCTCTATTAAGTTTCAATGTGATAACTCGTGAAGTGACTTCAAATAGTGAATATTGACGAAGACAACCGCGTCTGTTTGTATGACTAAAAAAAGTGCACCTAGTAAAAAAATACTATACATTTTTACTAATAGTTTTTGGGCGATATGTGATCCATATATTTTTTCATTAAATGTACACACTTACCTATTAAATAACAGACATAGCCAACTCAGATAATTAGAAAATTGAGCTGTTTACGGCACGTTATATTGGCTTTCGCACTCAGTGACAGTACGAAATCGTACAATAAGTAATTAAAACTGAAGCGTTCACAATGCTCTTTTTATTGTTTTCATTAATCAAGGTGTGTAAGAAGTTACAATATGTCTACTTTACCTCTCTTTCTGAAATGTAATATTTACATTTTGTGTACCTAATGAGAAAGAAATCATTTAAATGTCGTTCTTTATTTGAAGCATATATAAAAGGATACCCGAGCATCCTATGCACTTATGTCCACTGGTGTGATCTCGTTGACATTTCCGCGGTGCGGATATTTTAAAATAAGTTGAAATATCAATTAAAATGCAGCTTCGAAATAAAATGCTGTACTTCTACACTTCAGAGAGTGTTGAATATTATGATTAACCCATACAAGCAAACCCTTAAATAACTCCAGTACTTATTTAGGATCAGGACGCCTCTTTCGCGGCAGTGCACGTAGGTTCAGACAACATCTCCAGCTTTCTTTTTACTAGCGGGCTGCGCGGATCCTGTAAAGCCGACCAACTGCTGATGTGTTGTTGAGTAAGGTACCGAGAGTATCTGAAGCCAAGTTTCGCTGGAACTTCTTGACTAGACGACAGCACCATACAATTAATTTCATTGCTCCAGAATACGTCTGGCAAAACGAATATAAAATGAAGCAAGACCTGTCAAGTTCAGAATTTGTAAACGCCACTTCAATAGTATGGAGCCAGGCTAAACTCGTGGTGAGAGACATTGCGGATTGTACATCAATTAGAATTTTTTATTTTTGACACAAATTTGCCTAGAAATCGATGGTTTATATTTTTAGAGCGAAATTCTTTCACTGCACTATGAAATACGATTATATTCATTTCATCTACTAAGAAACTCACAGTTTTCTTATGGCTAGTACACTTGCGGACTAGGAAAATGTAATTTCATTGGTGCCAGCAGCAAGAGTTAGGCTTCACTGAGATCAAAATATAGGGCTTCGTTTTGCGTTTCATCTTGATTTGATCTTGTAGCAATGCATAAACCGCAGCTGAATAGCCGTACCTCGTTATTACGATAACGTTGAAACAGCGAGCTCGCAGTTGAGGAAAGGAATTAGCTACCGGTGTTGATAAGATAGATTAGCATCGCCACGCGATCAAGCATATTTCTGGCAATTCCACAGTCACCGAGTATTCTAGTGGGTTCTTGTAACAGGACACCGTTGTGACAGTCAGTTTCAAGTATTTGAGGCAATACTGGCATGTTGGAGATGTGCAATAATAATAAGATATTTTTGAAAAGTCAGAGGTATGATTCACGTTGATAACGAATAAGCGGGAGCTCTCTTCCGATTGCCGTTAACTCCATTGCAGATGTGTCTTACGCTGTTGCTTTAACTCCAGTTTTCACGACTAAACGCTAAGAGTCACCGTCCAAAGTCGTGTGCAAAGCGCCGGCGTCGTGTTATTGTGCTGCCCGTTAAGGTAGACAAAATGTTTGACTCCTTCTGCGTTTAGCAGTTTGCTGCTTGGTCCGATGTTCAGACTTCAGAAACGTTTATCTATCTATCTGAGAAACTCTCCAGGTAGTGCGCTGGAACGCTGACGGCTCATAATTCATCTCTGTCAATTCCCGTCTGGCCTCCACTCGACAATTAATAAGCTAAATCATAGAAATGTGTGAGCTCAGCGACGACGCACAGAAAACTACTGTCCGGACGAATTGTCGCCCTCGTTGCCCGAGTCCGTCGGCCGCGCTCGTCTTCGTCCCCCGCCCTCACCCCTCCATGCCCTCCCAGCCGCCACGCTCGAATTTCCGTCCCACGCGCTGAGCCGCATTTGCACATTTCAGCAAGGTGCCTACCTTGCCCGACTAAGAAGACGGAACGATTAGATTACCGCGTGATCAGCACGGTCATTAACGGCCCTAATAAAACAAAAAACTGTAGCGTGCCCGCCCGCCTTCCCCTCCCGCAGCGCCCCACATCCGAGACGAGAATCCAGTCCGCGCATTAACCTCCTCGCGACCCCGCGACCGTCCGCGCGCAAAACCCCGCCACGAACCCCGGCCGGCCCGGCCCGCCGGCCCGCCCGGCCGCCCGCCGCCCCTCTGGCCGGCCGGCCCTTCGCCACGGCGCGCCGCCTCGTTAAGCCGCGTAAAACAGCCCCTCTCTCTCTATGGAAAACACGCGTTGGCGGTGCCTGCCGGACTCTCCCAGGCATTCGAACTCAGAAGCCACCGGCCCCGCATTCGGTGGTTCGCACACTGAGGATGAACGGAACTAACTCTTTCCCCAAACGTAGCATGTCGGTAAACTTCTCTATTATCTGATGGTTCTATTTTTTTTTGATCTAGTTATTGCCTTCCATACGGAGTTCCGATATACACCCCCAGTTACCTGGCCAGAGGATCGTGATACAAGGAAATAATGAATTGGTGGGCTACGCGTTGTTCTTTTTATGAGATGGAATATTTGGAGGGAAAATATGAAAAGTCAAGCACGCAGGTCCAACAGCTAGTTAATTAGTAAATTTATCATTAAATTACGGAAAAATATAAATATGTAACGTACCCGGGGGCGGTGTTACTTTACCTGAATGGTCAACAAAAAAGTCTGATGCTCTTGCGCCCGACGTTTTTTTTTGTCATTCTTTAGCATCTTCAAAATCTTTACAAGCGCACTTAGTACAAGAAAAACTATGTTTTGAAGCAAAGATCAATTTGCTTCTTCGTGCTTCTTTCTTCTCTTCTCGATTATTATTATTGGGGATAAAGAGCGGAAGAAGAACACTTGGCAGTCCAAAGGGATATTATTATGTATTATTATATTATTATTATTATTATTATTATTTTTATTATTTTGCTTATTCTTCTTCTTCTTATTTATTATCATCATCATTGAGTTATTCTATTGCTTTACTATTAAAAGATTTCCCCAACGTATATACAGAATATGGTTCCTATGTGCTGTATAACTTCGACAATCTGACATGCCAATAAAAATTTGAACGGGAAGATTAAAATGAAAAACATTAGAATAATTAATTTGTTTCATTATTAAATCCAGTTACTTCTCATTTTCAAAAGTGATAGCTACTTTCATTCCGCATTTTCTTTTCCAATTTAGGAAGACAACAAATGAAGAAAATGTTCTACATTATAAAATTATGAAAATCAAAAAAAGGGCAATGAAAAAACGAGTTTAATATCCCGTGTAGTAGAACTCTATCTAATCTGAATGGATTTGAGTTATTCACGTTGAATATAACTTAATGAGTGATATTTTCTAATTAAAGATATTTTTTTGCCGAAGCCTCTCCCGTTACCTGTGGATATTAACCTGGCTTTCTCTTCTTTTCACATTTTTCTCTCCTTTTTCCCGC